AAAGGCTTAGAATATCCAGCAATGCTATTTATTCTAATTACTTTCTTTTTTTTTTTGAGACAGAGTCTCACTCTGTCACACAGGCTGGAGTGCAGTGGCTTGATCTCGACTCACCGCAACCTCCACCTCTCGGGTTCAAAGATTCTCCTGCCTCAGCCTCCAGAGTAGCTGCAGTTACAGGCGTCGTCACTACACCTGGTTCATTTTTGAATTTTTAGTATAGAGACACCATGATGGCCAGGCTGGTTTCCTGAACTCCTGACCTCCAGTGATCTACCTGCTTCAGCCTCCCAAAGGGCTGGGATTACAGGCGTGAGCCACTGTGCCTGGCCATGACATTATTTTAACACAAAGTGTTATGCAGATAAAATATTAAGCTTTCTTCATACAAAATTTTTCCTAAAATGTATTCCATAAGGATGGCAACAATGAAACCAAATATATATCAATGAAAGTTTTGATATGTATATGTTTTAATCAAGTGGACTGCACCCTACTGACTATTCTCCAAAATATAAACTTCAGAAATATATGTTCTCTTACCGTCCAAGGAAACATTGCCAAAGAGGACGGTTCTGTGTCGCCAAATCAGAATCTTTGGAACCAAACAATTTAGCTAGAAGTCGAACAACAGCTAATCGCTCTTCTCCATCATTGCTCTAAGAAGAGAAAACAGAAAGTGAAGCCTGAGCTTTAGTCATCAGATTACAGAAAATATCTTGAAACATTCTCAAGAAGATACAATTTCATATTTTTGCTTATAACTGTAAGAAGTTTAAAATATCATGTATTCTCATTTACTATGCAGAAATTGATCTGATTTCACGTTAGATCATCTGGGTTTTTGCTCTTGTTTCACACCCTGCCAACTGCTAATTTATGCCTACTTCACTGATTAATTGCATTCTACACTTTGGTTATAGACATTGTACAAATACATCATTCACTTATAACATTAAGAACCCTATAAAAACTTCTATGAAGGACAAAGATACAAACAATTACCACCCTAATAAGCTTACTCTACAGGAAATCTGCAATTTAAGTTCCAACATATGGTTTTGATATACAAAGTTTTAATGAAGGATCCCCTACTGACTGGAGAACACTACAGAATTTCATGATTCATGAAAATTCATTTTAAGAGCAGCGCAAGAATTATAACACAATCTGAAGGTCAGCTGAATTGAACACTATAAAAGAGTAAAACTTCATTGTTTTCTAGTAAGATTCTCTTATTTTCTTATCCTGAAATATGCGACAAAATTCTGTTCCAGTTTCAGTAGTGATGCCATGTTTTATATAAAATAAGTTATTCTGAAACCATATGGTGTGTAAAACTTCTTTTCAAAAATTATATTCACTAGGAAAATAAACACAGAATCTAAAAGCAGCTGCTAATTTTTTTTTAAGTGTTCAAATACAATGTGTGGCAAAAGCAATACCAGATATCCAATAAACAAATCCGTTTGGGAAAGAGAGGTAAAAATAGAAAAATAAAGGCCATGGGATAAAATATTTTCTTCATGAATGTTTTAACTATCAACAACAGGGGTTTTGTGGGGAAAACAGGCACACTTAACTAATGTAAAAATGAAAATTACATCAAGTATTAACTATTTTAATTATAAATGACAAAAATCATTGCCTTTGTTAAAGAGGCAGAGTCTTGCTCTGTTGCCCAGGCTGGAGTGCAGTGGCATGATCATGGCTCACTGCAGCCTTGAACTCCTGGGCTCAAGTGATCCTCCCAACATAGCCTCCTAAGTAGCTGGGCACACAGGTGTGCCTTACCATACCTGGCTAATTTTTCATTTTTCTGTAGAAACAGATTATCACCAGGTTGGTCTTGAACTCCTGGCCTCAAGCAAGTCTTTCACGTCAGCCTCCTAAAATGCTGGGGTTATATGTACATGAGGTATCATACCCGGCCTGATTTTATCACCTTTTTTGTGTGTGTGAGACAAGGTCTGGCTCGATCACCCAGGTTAGAGTACAGTGGTGCAATCTTGGTTCACTATAACCTCCAACTTCCAGGCTCAAGCCATCCTCCCACCTCAGCCTCCCCAGTAGCTGGCACTACAGGCGTGTGCCACTATATTTGGCTAATTTCTGTGATTTTTGTAGTGAAGGGATGTCACCACATTGACCAAGCTGGTCTCAAACTACTGGGCTCAAGAGATCTGCTTATCTATGCCTCCCAAAATGCTGAGATTACTGGTATGAGCCACTGCACTTGGCCCAGCCTGATTTTCTTTGACAAAATTTTTCTCAACCAAAGTGACAATAATGCAGAGTAGCACAAGCTTCTAATATGTTCAATTTGTTAGCCAACATGACTTATTTCTAAAAGAAAAAGTAATCTATCCTCTAAATATGAAACAACAGAACACATGGAAATTTTATTCTAATTGCAAGTAACCATTTTACTAGATCAGTGATTATATCAAACGAGGTAACATGTCATATCTATAAACTACAGAAATAAAACAAACTGAAAACCCTCCCTTCTGCTATTTTATGAAAGTCAAAATATATTCCTTGATTAGGCTCAGTGGCTCATGCCTATAATCCCAGTAATTTGTGAGGCCAATGCAAGAAAATTGCATGAGGCCAGGAATTTGAGATCAACCTGGGCAACACAGTGAGAATCCCTCTCAATGCCCCCACCCCAACAAAAAAATGAGAGAGACTCAGATGGCAGGATCATTTGAGCCCAAGAGTTCAAGGCAGTAGTAAACTTTTACAAATAGCAGAGGGGTGAGAATTATGAATTCCTTGCTCAGTTGTCT